CATCAATCAATATCTTCTAACATCAATGACATTAACATCGTGAGCATCAACAACACACACACACACACACACACACACACACACACATACACACACACACACACACACATACACACACACACACACACACACACACATAGGGGCTGGGCCGGAGAGGAGGGTGCCCGACTTTCTCTCCTCTTGCCTGACCTGAACCACTTTGTCTCGCTGCTGCCACGACTCTCCAGCTCCCATTCTGCCACCTCCAGCCCCCGCCCACCTCCAGCCCTCACCCACACCCAGCCCCTGCCCACCTCCAGCCTCCGCCCACCACCAGCCCTCACGCCCATCCAACCCACCTCCAGACAACCCAACCTACCCCCAGACCACCCAACCCACCTCCAGACCACCCAACCCACCTCCAGACCATCCAACCCACCCCCAGACCACCCAACCTACCTCCAGACCACCCAACCCACCTCCAGACCACCCAACCCACCTCCAGACCATCCAACCCACCTCCAGACCCTCCATTAATCCGTGCCTCACTTTTCCCGTTGTAGTTTATGTCGTGAATGTTTGGTCGACAACAATTTGCTTCTCCTCAGTTTTTTTTTATTTTATTTTTTTTAAGTTTGATAATAACGCAAGAGTTTATCTCATTTTTCAATAGTTAACAATAAAATCTTCATATATATATATATATATCTAAAATTTTATTAATGTCACAGTAGTTAATCAGGGCAGCCTTTTTCCCACTTCATAGGTGTTTAATTCTCTCCAATAATTACTTTCACGGAGGCGGTCGATGAATTTCAAAATGAACACTGTGACTCCTGTTGTCTCGGTAGGGTTGTCAAAATCCTTCGTCCGTTGTGTCATATTGTCTCACATCGCCTCACCTTCTCCGTCTACAGGTGCTGCTCGATGGCTTCGTAAGAGTGGTAATGGTTGGTCACTCTGCGTCTCGGGTCTTAGTTGCTTGTCAGGGTAATATCTCAGGAGGAACACTTTTGAGAGGTAGGAAGCTGATATTTGTATTATATTTTGTTCATACCATGGGGCGTGGTATGGTGTACAGTGTTCATACCATGGGGCGTGGTATGGTGTACAGTGTTCATACCATGGGACGTGGTATGGTGTATAGTGTTCATACCATGGGACGTGGTATGGTGTACAGTGTTCATACCATGGGACGTAGTATGGTGTACAGTGTTCATACCATGGGGCGTGGTATGGTGTACAGTGTTCATACCATGGGACGTAGTATGGTGTACAGTGTTCATACCATGGGGCGTGGTATGGTGTACAGTGTTCATACCATGGGGCGTGTGTACAGTGTTCATACCATGGGGCGTGGTATGGTGTACAGTGTTCATACCATGGGACGTAGTATGGTGTACAGTGTTCATACCATGGGGCGTGGTATGGTGTACAGTGTTCATACCATGGGGCGTGATATGGTGTACAGTGTTCATACCATGGGACGTAGTATGGTGTACAGTGTTCATACCATGGGACGTAGTATGGTGTACAGTAAACTTACCAGTACCTATACACGTCATATATCAGTTGAGTCCACAAAATAGTACCCCTCAAATATACTGAAGAGCAATACACCTCATTATAATATATTCATTATAGTCAACGAGGTTTAATACCATGAAAAAAAAAATAATCCAGAAAAAATAAAAACATTATCCCTTTTGTAATTTATTCCTTAGGCTGTCAGTTCACGGTCACATCTGATTAATCCACAACTGTATTATTATTACTAGTTTATTCTCTTTCCAAGGCAGCTGTGTTTATTCTCTTTCCAAGGCAGCTGTGTTTATTGCTATTGATAATTTATTTCAAACACTTTAGTCCACAAACTTACTATTTCATACCATAAAAATTTTTTCCTCTAGTCTGAACCTGAAAAGTTTAACACACACACACACACACACACCCACACCTATAGAGATGGTCTCTTGTCTCTCTCTTGGGCGTCTGGAGAGAGACAGAGAGAGAGAGAGAGAGATGGTTTAATTTAAATGAAACCTCTTTTAATGGATGACATAGAGAGAAAATCCGTTATATCGAAGGTCCATTAGATGTGAATTCCCCCATCTAACGGATTATATATATAGAAGTCCGTTATATAGAGGTTTCACGGTTCATACTTGCTGATGCTTAGTGTACTCGACGTGCTAATGTAGACCCCGTATTTAGAGACCTTAGTTTTAAAGTGCAGTAATACGTTATAACATTTACACTAATGCTCTGTTCTTCGTAGTGTACAGAAGACAATGAAGTGCAGAATTAACTAGCCACTAAGCAATGTTTCCCCCCTCTCTCTCTCTCTCTCTCTCTCTCTCAGCTTACTCCTGTGTGCCTTTCTCATTCCCCCTCTTAGTTCCATACAGAAAGGATTATTATTACAAAAAATATCAAAATAATTACCTCACGCTTACTCTCACCCGGACGCTCTGTGCTCGCTACTCCATCCCTCGTCAACATTACGCCGCTCAGAGCCGCACCTGTAAACATCCCGCTTCTCTCAACCTATATTCCCGGCGAGTCGTGACACGGAAACTCTCTCTCTATTTACGTGAAAACTGTCATTTTTCTAGTGTACAGACTAAACACAACACTTATACTTTACGATGTATATTATTTTCTGTAACTTAAGGGTTAGGAACTCACGTTATGAGTATAAGGGAGTATAAGGCAGTGTGTTGGCTGAAATACTGTGCGTGCTAGTCAGTGTTGAGGTGAACAGCAGCTGCCCTTACTAAACAACATAACCAAAACAAACACGGGACAGGAGTGTCTGGTCAGAGCTCACCAGAAACTCTTTGTTAGTTATTCCTTCAGCGAAATTGACTTCTTCTTAAATTCCAATAAGTGTAATCGTGGTGTTGATAGCACGTACAGTGTCTCCTCCACACGTACACGTACAGCGTCTCCTTCACACGTACACGTACAGCGTCTCCTCCACACGTACACGTACAGCGTCTCCTTCACACGTACACGTATAACGTCTCCTTTACACATACACGTACAATGTCTCCTGTACACGTACAGGCGAGGCGTTGCATCACACAAATACTAAAAGCTAAATAAAAAAATCCTTTCAAGTTTAATTGATAACTGAACTGCCCTCAAGCGAAGTGTAAACTCGCGCTTTTATTTTATTTTTTTATTTTTTTTTTATATCAATATCATGACCATGACCTTCTTCCTCATGACCCCAACAGCGCCGAGAGGGTCATCATGTGTACACTGTATATATTAGGACGAGGCGAGCTGGCTGTTCCCGTCCGTTCTTACGTTATACCATCAATATATGAGTGTGTGTGTGTGTGTGTGTGTGTGTGTGTGTGTGTGTGTGTGTACTGTATAATGTTTCACACAGTTCATCTAGTATGTGTTATGTCACGTCATCGGGTGTCTTTCCTGGCCTCACTGATGAATGTTTTTTTTTCCACGTTGAAATTTTTATTAAAGAGTGAAGATGGTTGCCCTGGCTATGAAGCATCTGAAGTAGAGTTCCAGTGAGTCTTGGTGTACGTTCATTGTTCATGTGGGGTTTTTTTCACGGTAAATAAACATTATTATTTTTGTCTGGTCTGGCGATATGAAGGAAGACTCGATGGTGTATTTTAACGTGCACACGGTACGTGAGGTACACCTACCGTAGACGCGCACAGCGTGAGGTACACCTACCGTAGACGCGGTACGTGAGGTACACCTACCGTAGACGCGCACAGCGTGAGGTACACCTACCGTAGACGTGCACAACGTGAGGTACACCTACCGTAGACGTGCACAACGGTACGTGAGGTACCCTACCGTAGACGTGCACAACGGTACGTGAGGTACCCTACCGTAGACGTGCACAAGGTGAGGTACGCCGACCGTAGACGTGCACGACGGGACGTGAGATACGCCTACCGTAGGCGTGCACGACGGGACGTAAGGTACGCCTACCGTAGACGTGCACAACGGTACGTGAGGTACCCTACCGTAGACGTGCACAAGGTGAGGTACGCCGACCGTAGACGTGCACGACGGGACGTGAGATACGCCTACCGTAGGCGTGCACGACGGGACGTAAGGTACGCCTACCGTAGACGTGCACAACGGGACGTGAGGTACACCTACCGTAGACGTGCACTACGGTACGCTAAGTAGACGAGCACTTAGTGTTAAGACAGAAGGGCTCTGTACAACACACAAAGATTATATCAGGATAATAATTCTTGAACGAGTTAGTCGGAAATGATCCATATTTTGCGCTGCACGACTTTCCTGTTGGCTGATGAGTACAACGGATGTTTACGCTGTCAGTGTCTTCTTGGTTCACTTCTCTCTTCTTCAACACGAGTTAAGAATAAATATATATTTCTCGCTGTGTTGTGACGAACCTTATACCATCTGCTCCACTCTCCTCACTTGAGAATGGCTGATGTTTGATGGATGGATGGATAGATATCTGTCGACCAAGAGCTGCCGGGAACAGGTAATCGTGGGTTGGTAGTAAGAAGGCGTGAGTGGTGGTGCTGCGGGGTGGATGCCGGGATGGTGCGTGGCGGTGTGCTGAGTGGAGGCGGTGGGTGGAGGGGCGCGAGATGTGGAGGTCACAGCCCCGTGGCAGCCATTATCATACCTGCCGCGGCCACTGGACCTGCGCCGGCCGAGCTCTGCTCCATGACCTTAACGGGCTGCCTGGCAAGTGTTTGTTGTCGGCCAGACCACACTAGATGCTGCCCCTGTTGCTGCACTCTGTCTCCGACACTCTTAGGCTGCTGCTACACCTGACGGAGCGGGCACTGAAGAAATGAGGCTAGGGACAAACATTGAGGTGGTGCGGGCAGGAGAGGGCGGGGCTCGGGGCACGGGCGGGTTAGGGGGCAGGTGAGGAGGAATAGGAGGAGCAGGATCGTGGGGTGGTGGTAGTAGTAGTGGTGGTGAGGAGTGATTGTGTTGCCGCGGGAGTGCTGCGCTGTGCCCGCCCGCGGCCCGCCCCGCCACAAACCCCGCCCCCCCTCCTCAGTGTGCCTCTGACAGCGGCCAAGGGTGGACGCATCCTACGTCGCTCCCGACTCCCAACCCAACCTCCCGACCCGTGCTCACTACAGAGTTTGTCTCACCCACTTGTCTCGTTTTGTGTGTCTTTGCGAGAGTTACTCCACGAACGCAGTGGTTAATATTAATTACAAGAACCACAGTTCTATGTATTTCCACTATGAAATTTAAACATAAGATATGGTAATTGACACGTGGAGGTGAGGCAACAGTGCACTTCAGAATGAGAAATCCCAAAACTAAGAAATTTGTGTCGGTGTTGTAACGTGGAGAGTGAGGGAGAAAATATACGAGTGGTGGTGCACAGGTGAAGAGCCCACAGCCTGAGAGCCCTGGACCCCCTTACCTGGAAGTATAGCTGAGGTGGGGAGCAGGTGTAGCTGTGGTGGCTTGAGGGAACAAAGACACCTGGAGACCTGTAGTGATATGTGTGTGTGATTCTCAACGTTATTCCGCCAAAATCTTAACAGTGTCGTGGGTTTGTTCTGGACTACAACTTCGTCCCACAATCCAAGGTAAGAAAACTGCTCCTGATTCAAACCAAATTAATGATTCATAAACACAACATTCTTTCAAGCTAAGAGTTCAGGGGAATAATAATATAACTCGCATCAGTTTCTCGTGAGGAAGAAAATCGTGAAAGTTTTTAACAAGCTCGTAACACTTTCTCAGATCAATATGTAAACATTATCACAAGAGGCGAATATTTCTCGCGTACTACTCCACGCAGATAACACCCCCACCTTCACGCTTACCTGTGCTCCTCGCTAAGTTATCACACCTGATTAGTCTTTCATTATCTTTCTCGCTAATATCGTTCTAATACCAACTTTACTCGCTGTTTAATATCTAAACCGCATGAAGGCGGATGACCGTTCTCAACGAAATATTTGCATGTCAGGCAGGAAATAAAACATTCCTCAGGTATACGTTGTAATGTCATCAATTATGCGAATTCGTTGTTTTTGCCTGTAAACGTTTGTGTTGGTCTTGATTAGGAACGATATGGATATTTTCACCCGAGGAATAACTAGAGCAACAAGGTACGTATCTTTTAGTTAAAACTCGATGGGTCAGATCTTACGAGTTTTGTATAATATTTCGATCTTCAGTAATCGATGAAGGTTATTGAATATTACAGAATCCTTCACTAAATAACATTATGGCGAGAATTATTATTTATATACATACATGTTTATACAGTATACGTGTACAGATAAAAGAAAGAACAAATATTGTGTTTATTCCAATTAAAAGTTTAAACATTTTATCGCTGGGAAATTACAGTGTGTGATGAAAGTGGCGGCGGTCAGTGTGCTCTATAACACTAAATACTGGTGTTATTCTTGTGTAATTTGGGTTCGTCAGAACAGGCGTAGAGTCCCAAGGAGGAGGAAAGGAGAAAGTAGGTAATGAAGAGAAGGGAGGAAAGGGAGAGGAGAGTGCGTTAGAGTAGATAATCGATATGATGAAGAAGAATAATGGGATTAATGATAGAGGAATAAAGAAAGGAATAAAGAAAAGAATGATGGAAGGGGAAGGAGGGGAAACAACAGGGCGAAATTGAGTGATTAAGTAAAACCTGGAGACACATGACAAAACCGAGAGAAAGTGCGGTAGAGAGACAGTGTAGACGTGCAAGTAGGAGAAAATCCCAAGACAACTTCTCATGCACGTTTTAGTCTCTCACTCTCTCACTCACCATCTGTCTCTCTAACTATCTCCTTCTCTCCCTCTTTCTCTCTCTTCCTCTCACTCACCGAAACTCCTCCAGCATCGAAGACTGATATTCTTAGATAGACGCATTATTCATAGGCCTCGTCCCCCCATCTAGTGGCCAGCGTTGTCAGGTCCGTGAGTGACAAGTCAGAGGGAGTGACCATCACCAAGTAAATTAGTTATCAGTTTTGTGGCTGAAGGTTGACACAAATCTATTCGGTCTTATGATAATATGTTAAGGTGATCACTGACGGCTCCTGAAGCTGTACGAGATAACAACAGACTTAACCGTGTCATGTTTTTAATGTATCTGAAGTGAGGATGGAAAAAAAACATACATCTCACTGGTCATTTATACACAATCAAGAACATATTTCAAAAGTGAGATAAATTTGTAATGGATTTTGATTTTTCGGTAAAAGTGAGTTTATTATTATTAATTTTTCCATAACGAGGGATATTGTGGCTCTAGTCGGTCTGTATCAATTAAAGTGAATATATATTTTTCAAGTATTATTGTCAAGTCTAATAATGGTTGATTTTGGTGATGTGATGAAGATAAATAAGCAATAAAGTCTTCCCTATTGAGTCGTTTTAAGTCGCTCAAAGAACGCATTTTAGTCATCCAGGTAAACGCTAATTATTATTCTATGATTACCTGAATATCATTACCTGTAGAGAATGAGTATTTTGGTTAGAGTTCTCAGGTGTTCCCTGGGTGTGTTATGTGGAGGAAAAATAACTTAGAAAACAGTAAAATCTCAACCAAAGACAAAGAGGCCAACAGCTGTCTGAATCACCCACAAGACGCCACAGTGGCACCATAGCATCACAACCTCATTAAATATGATAATGGAGGTGTAAGGTAACAGAAGGAAAGTAATTGAGTGTTAAATATTATATTTCCAATCACGCTTACACCACAAGACGTAAATGAAGGAGGAGGAGTCAGTCCCCTACTTCATGTCTCGTAGGTTTTATGCTGCGGGGAACAACTCTTACACCGCTACTTTTTTCCTACTTTTTTTTGCCTTGACTCGAGCGGTGAGGAGAAAGTGTGGGTCTTCGTAAGGCACAGAAGGGACGGCGTTACCTAAGTCTTAGTATACAGTATATGTCAACATAAATCTTTAATGTATTATTTTATTTAGAGCTATCGATAATATTCTTCCTCAGTTCAGATCAGTTATAGCAAATGGATGTAATTATTTAATGTGTTTTCTTCAGTCGTGTATTGACTTAACAACAAAAGGGGGTGTTGTAGACGTCATCTTTTATGGATAGAGTAAGATAATATATCAGCCCTAGAGTCAAAACTTCAGTAGCAAAATGTTTACTTGTTGAGGCAGGAGCAACAACGTTGACTCACGGCTGGTGTTACTCCCTCACACAGTCATGCAATATTGCAGTAGTTATGCAATCCAAGAAATTGTGCAATGTGTGGTTTACTAGAAAAAAAGAATATATATTGAATGTTACGTAACTTATATTCTCAGAGTAAACGAATATGGATTTGTGTTTCAATTAAATATAAAATAGAAAGAAAAACAAAACACGTAACAAATTTAAGTAAACTTGATTTGATAAGATTGTTACCCGCGAAACGCTTCGTAAAACAGCAGGTCGCCGATGTTGTTGTTGTTGTTGTTGTTCTCTTTTTAACCTTTCCTTAGATATCAAGTGGAATTGCTGAGCTCGAAGACGTTCAAAAGATTCCTCACGGTCGGCTTCGTTTCAATAACATCTACATTGTTGAGGGGGGTGAGGCTTGCCTCCTCAGAGTCCTGCCTGCTGGAGGTAGAGATGGACAATACACGCCCTGATGTCAGCCTGGAGGACGAGACCTGTAAAGGGACTTGTTCTTACCTTGTTGAACTTGAGGAATGACCCTGAAACACACACACACACACACACACACCAGGATCACTCAAGGTACTTCGGTTATATTCTGTCACAATGATGACTGAACCTGGCATTTTGAAGGAATAAATTGGGGTTAAGATTGTTTCTTCTCGATGGTTTAACCTTTATAAACAAAATATAAACCACATTTACACCCCCAGTTCTTATCATCTTGAAGGAGTTGTTTGTTTACAGTAGTTTAACCTTTATGAACAAAACTATTCCTCAACACTGTATCGAGGTTTAAAACGAATAGAAAAAAAATTATAAACATAAAAAAAAAGTATTACACACTAGTTGGAGGCGACCAGATATACACAACTTATTACTTGATGAAAACATGCACACGGATTATAGAACATTCAAGTAATTATACTCATTCTTTTGGACTCAGAGTTTATGTTATGAGTGAAGCTTTGTTGGTCGAGCGAGTAGTGCGTTACGTGACCTTCATTTAGATAAGGAAAGAGAAGAGGAAGACCTATCGTGTATGACTAACTATATCCAGGTCGTATAGGAAAGGTTGAGAGTTCGTATCCTTGACCTACACCCGCACGTACACACATTCATAACCCCCCCACACACACACACACACCTCTGTTGATGTCGCAAGAAAGGTGTTCGTATGCAAGTCAGTATCAATAGACCACAAAATACAGCAGACTGAAGAACATTAATTTTGTACAGTTAATTTATTACCTGAGATGGATTAATGTCTGGGTCGTGTACAGGTGTGGTTTGTGGGGGTCATGTACAGTGCTGTGTGGGTCTTGGACAGTGAAGTGTGGGTCGTGCATGGTGATGTGTGGGTCGTGTACAATGATGTGTGGGTTGTGTACAGGTGTGGGTCGTGCATGGTGAGATATGAGTCGGAGAAAAGGTGCTACCTAATCCCAGGACAGAAATAATACCACCATATGAGCCAACTCTCAGCTGGTGACCCTGTTAACTCATAAACACGAAATTCCTGAATTACCTACAGCACCTGGGGAGGATCTGGGTGATATCATGAAATATTTTAAGACTAGCCATTCCTCTAAAGCCACCCAGGTGTTAGGTTAGGTTAGGTCTGCAATCGGAATATAAATCGTTGTCTGAGTTTATCGTAATTAAGGTATATTCGTAATAATGTTTTCATTGCTGTTGTTGTTTTAATCGTATATATAATCCTCATTAACCATTGATAACATTATATTACTGATTCAACTGTTAGGCTTTGTCCCTGGTTAAAGTGGGGATTTTTCTGATGTTTATTTAAGTTAACCCAACCAGGATACAGTACCTACGTGGGTCTGTGTTACTGTGTGGGGTAAGACATATTATACCTGTGTATTTTTTTTTTACACTGTGGTACACCGTAGTACACCCTCAATGGTACACCTAGTGGTACGCCCTAATGGTACACCCTAGTATATCTTTAGTGGTACACCTAGTGGTACACCCTAGTAGGCTACACCTTCAGTGGTACACCCTCTAGCATACATAATAAATTAGCAATAAAATGAAAGTTGAGGAACAGACAATACGGGAAGGCCGGTGTTCCCCCTTGTTTATGTGTGGGGGGGGAGGATATGTGTGGGTGGAGTAGGGGGGGTTTGTGGGGAGTGTAGGTGGAGGGGGTTGTGGGGAGTGTAAAGTAGCTTGACCATGAAGACACAACGAATACTGACCCGGGTATCGATTCTACGACCTTGAAATCCAAGAACAGACCTTCGCTATTAGGTCGCTGAGTCCAATCCACCCACCACCATCACCCACACCCCCCCTACCCTCACCCTGACCCACCACCATCACCCACACCCCCCCTACCCTCACCCCGACCCACCACTATCACCCATACCCCCCTACCCTCACCCCAACCCACCACCATCACCCACACCCCCTACACTCACCC